CCCTCCCTCCCTCTCAACCTCCCCGCCCAGTCGCCTGCTCAGCTGGAAGGTCAGAGCCCACCCCACTTCGCTGGAGGAGCTCTCTGTGATTGGCGGCTCGCACTGCCCATCATCTCCTCCTCCTCCTCCTCCCCTCGGCGTTAACACCTTCGCTCTCCGGCTGGCTCCGAGCTCTCCTCGGCACACGCCAACCTCTGGCTGCTTTGGCAGAGAAAAGGCTGTCTGAATCCCAGCAAGGCAATCAATCGCAGCTGAAGTCTGCGTGTTTGAGTGAGCAGAGCGGCGCAGAGCAGCGCGGAGCGGCGCGGAGTGATTGCAGCCTCGGGGCGTTATGGTAATAGGATGCCTGCGCAGCACAGTGTATATAAATTAGCTATTATAGAGAGTATAGTAAATCCTCTGCATGTTACATGAGTGAGCATGCACACTAGAACTTCCCTCGCTCTTAAACACATGGTTTTAAAACATGATTAGGTTTGATTTGCAAAGGCTAGTAATTAAGTTTAATAAATCTTAGCATTTGTAGAAAAGCAAACTATGTAAGCCTACTCACCATGACCATTCCTCTGACAGGACTGTAAAGATGCTCTTAATTAAACCTTCAAAATGCCCAAAAAGTAAGTCCTGAGAAGTGTGGAAGTGGATGAATGGGACACGGAAGTTGTGTTGTAGTAGTAGAAGTAAAAAAAAAAAAGGTACAACAAATGAAAGGCGTGGGTGTGGAAGATCAGCAGGCATGTCTCGTGCAAACAACAATAAACAAAAAAGGAACTCGCCTTTAAAAGCATGCTTGAGGAAAAGGTTGGGAGGAAACACCCCTTTTAGTGGGGGAAAAAAGCCAATTAGGGATTCTCCAGTCACCTGGAGGTTTCTGATTGGTTGAGGAGGCGTGGACGGGGCGGGGCATTCCTGGATGAAAGTGGGGGAGGCTGACTGGTCCACCGAGGGAAGCGTCGTGTGGAGAGTTAAACTGCCACAGACCAGTTCAAACCATTGTATGTGTGTGTGCAGATAATTATCTGTGTGTAACAAGTGTGACGAGATCAAAATGTGTTAGGGTTTAGTGTTTGCGCAGTCACATCCCTTATTTGTCATTAACTGGGAAAGGCTCTGTCTGCTTTTTTACTGCTGTGCTCCTTTTGAGCCATGTGTAGATTTTAAACTGGGCAGCGCTACTTACAAAAATCCCCTCCTATAGAAGTGATGCTTGTGTGGCACGCTATCCTGCTTTAGCTCAATGCAAAATTATATATACTATAGGTCGAGCAGACGCAATGCTATTAATATTATTTGTTATACAATTATTGACCTAATAAATCACAATAAAGCTTGTTTATTGTCAAGGTTAGTCTCTTTAAGTTATTTTCCAGCAACAATCTTTGTTATCCTCAAGGACTTTACCTCAGGGAGACAAGAAGAGGGAGCTCTTGCCTCTTTTAAACACCTGGCAGGCAGAGGTCCACAGCTTTCACATGTACAAATGTTTATGCACACCTACATCCAGAAATCACCCCAAACACATGTTGCTTCAATCCATGCAATGCATCAAAACTCACTCAAACACTGTGACACACTCTCACACAAACGTCTCATGCTGCAGGCATAAACGCACATCCTCGTCTGACTTCAGATCAAAAATATTATGGCTTTAAAATTCATTGTAATAATTTTTTTGTTTATTTTCTACATTTCAATCAGGAACGGTTCTTTTGTTGTAGATAAATCTCTCTTGTGAGATGGTACGATGGAACAAGTGGGCTTCTATTAGTCTTTGAGATAAATTGAAAATTTATTTTATTTATAATCAAAAGAATGGAAAAAACC